GGCAGCCCTTTAAGATATCTGGACTTCAAACTCCCAGAATTCCCCAGGCAGCCCTTTAAGATATCTGGACTTCAAACTCCCAGAATTCCCCAGGCAGCCCTTTAAGATATCTGGACTTCAACTCCCAGAATTCCCCAGGCAGCCCTTTAAGATATCTGGACTTCAAACTCCCAGAATTCCCCAGGCAGCCCTTTAAGATATCTGGACTTCAAACTCCCAGAATTCCCCAGGCAGCCCTTTAAGGTATCTGGACTTCAAACTCCCAGAATTCCCCAGCCAGAGCAAACTGATTTCTATGCTGTCCACATAGGGGTAACAGCCCAGCTGCTATTGCAACCATTCAGTTAAATCTATATTATACTATTTTTTTGTTTTTTGTTTTTATTAGAGTCTTTCTTCATTTGATCATTGGAGAAACATTAAGTTCTGATATTACCTCCAAAGTTATATATATAAAAAAAACAGTGACTGAAAATTTTTTCTCCACCCAATTACTCTGACAAAGTCTCCAGAGGAAATAAATACCGCAACTTTTTCAATTCCATGCCCTCCCAATATTTGAGCACTGGAAAAACAAGCAACTCTAAAATAGTTTCTTTTTTTTAATCGAGTAAAAAAAACAAAAACGTTAGGAGAATGTTAAGCGTGGAAACAGAGACGCCAAATAATTTTGAAGCGATAGATTGCAGCTGTTTCCACCTATTCTGTTTCAATCTTATTATCTCTGACATAGAAATGTGCTTTCGAGTTTGGGGGAAAAGCATGATGGAATACAGTAAAGAATTCCTTGTTTTCTCCCCTCTTTTTCGCCAGTGTTTTTGCTTTTTTTAAAAAAAATAAAGTATTATTATTCGGGTCTGATTTCAATTTTTAAACCGAAATGCAACAATAGTTGTGAGAACAATCAGCTCCAGAAACCAATGGTATCCCTCCCAGCTGGACTATATCGAGGGCCAGAATCAGAAGAATCTATTTTACCCCAGCTAACAACACATCCACTTCCTAACTATCACAAGTGTATGACACAAAAGGCATTTATAGATCATATGAACTCAGTCTTCCTTCCATGGAGCACACCAGTTACTTCATTAGGACACAATGCAAGTGTCCTCATCTTTCACCAATTTCAAATCCTGACAGTCAAGGAGGTAGATGGGTTTGTTGTTATAGAAATGGCTAATACATGTGATTATAAAATCTGAAAAGTCGAGACTGCGTGTTATTACCTTATTCTACTGCGCCGAAAGAAGTCAAATGCTTTCTTTTTTCTTCTCTCCTTTCCCCTACGCTTTTTCCTTTCCCCCCTTTCCTTCCTTCTTTTCCTGTTATTTTCATCGTTCCTTTGCATTTCTGTACTTTATATTCTGATAAACTAATAAAAATCCTCGAATCGGGACACGAGTGAGCACACAGAAGAAAGAAAAATGAATTGCACAACACCAGCCTGCAGAATGGATGGTGGGTGTTGGAATGAACCAAAGCTTATCACTTTAAGATGAACCCGCCATTAAAAAAAAAAAGTTATTTTCACCTTTAAAAGATTGTAGGGAGCTCCTGGCTGCCTTAATGAAAGCTAAGCAAAGTTAAGAAAAGTCTTTCAAGAAATTGTTTGCATGACAAAAGTCTCCCCTTTCCACCCCTCCCAGTCTTTGGTGTTGGGATAAACTCCCCAGTTGGCTAGAAACTGGGAACACAACACAGTTGTAGCAGTGTTGCATTCCCAATTTTTCCCCCAAAATACTATGTCTTTATAACAATCTTGCTCCTCTTCTAACAGCCTTTATTCCATTGAACAATGATTGTTTTTCCAGAGACTTGAAGAGAGACAAGATTTCCAGCCCAGTTCTCGAATATGCATTTAATTGGAAATCTAGGGAACTGAACCTCACAACTTCTTGGAAGTACAACACACAAGCTTTCCCCAGGAAAAATAATAATAATACTGATGGCAATTTTATGCTGGAATTTAATCCAGGGTCTGTTTAAATCCTTCACAGGCCTCACCTTTCTCCCACAGTCCTCCAGTATATGCTTCTCCCTTGGATAAAAATAATTTGGTAAAAAGTGTTCATCTCCTTTAAAAAAATTGTGCCTTGCATTTTCCCAATGGGCTGTACAAACTTTAGCGAAGCCTTGCAAACCTGAGAAATAGTGCAACCCGAATTGTAAACCCTGAGAATATAAGATTATGGTGGAAAAACACATTGTGTCATTTGGAGATGGCTCCTATCCATGAGACATTACTGATATAAAATACTTTTTTTTTTTTTTAAGAAAAAACTTCAAGAAAGGATCTCACTTCAGATAAGTCCCAGGGAGGTTAATAGCCATTGTGGTCATTCTAGTTAGAAGCCCACAGTGGCCTTTAGACTCATTTTGAGAGGGACAATTGTATCTGTCACTATAATAGAAGCATCATGCTTAAATGGAAGTTCTCCATTGAGATCTAAGAATAAAACATTGGAAAAGGCTGAATCCCAGATGGGTGGGGATCCTCTTTCAAATATTAAGGACCGTTCAAGCAAGTAAAGATGAGTGAGGACTTAGTCAGACTAACAGAGTTGGAAGGGACCTTGAAGATTATCTAGTCGAGCCCCCCTCCCTCTCCCAAGCAGGAGACCCTAAACCATTTCTGACTGATGGTAATTTAATCTCTTCTTGAAAGCCTCCCACCACTTCAGAAGACAACTTCAGTTTCATGGGTTGATGGTTCTCACTGTCAGAAAATTTCTCCTTATTTCCAGGTTGAATCTCTCCTTGTTCAGTTTCCATCCATTATTCCTTGTCTGGCCTTTGGGTGCTTTGGAAAATAGCTTGACCCCACTCCTCCTCTGTGGCAGCCCCTCAGATATTGGAAGACTGCTCTCCTGTCTCCCCTGGTCCTTCTCTTCACTAGATTAGCCATGCAACCATTCTTCGTATATTTTAGCTTCCAGTCCCCCAATCCTCTTTGTTGCTTTTCTCTGCACTCTTTCTAGAGCCTCAACATCTGTTTTATAGTGTGGTGACCAATGATGGGATTCAGCCAGTTCACACCAGTTTGGGAAAAACGGTTGTTAACTTTTCTGAGCAGTTTGGGTGAACTGGTTGTTGGAAGGGCAGAGAACCACTTGTTAAATTATTTGAATCCCACCACTGATGGTGACCAAAACTGGTGCAGGATTCTAGGTGTGGTCTTACTCTCTTGAGGACCTTTTCCCCCCTCATGGTTTAAGAAGACCTTTAAAAATCCAATGGAGTAGCACACCCAAGAAGAGACTGTTGTTAGGAATAAACAATGGCAAAATCTGTTAGAAACCAGGGGTGTTGGTGTCCCTGAGGACACTTCTAAGCCTCCAATTGCTGAGAACATAGACTTCCTCTGGGAATTCCTCCCCGTAGAGAAATTCATTCTGCAATGAATGAATGTTTCACCAGGGCTATGAAATCTCTAGGCAAACAAAGAATGTGACTTCGGCATTCAGGAAAGGAGGCAGCTCCACCTGAGAAAGCAAGCTTTTGAAAAACAGGGGAACCTTAACCAAACTAATTTAGCCATCCAACCGGGTTGTTTTTTTCCCCGCCCACCTCACACAGAATATGCCTTGCTGGGTGCTCGGTTTCACATCACGCACTCCCTCTGAACATCGAACAAAACAGCATCACAATCTTTGTGCAAAAATTTTAAAAAAAATAACACACACACACTCTCCAACAGCTTTGTGCATACTTTGTAAGAAGGGGAGCTTGGCTTCTATGGCACAATTGTGCTTTGCAAAAAAAAAAAAAAAGCTTTGTTTTTCTTTTTTTATAAAAATGGTTGCTCCGGGATGGCTAATTTTAAACGATACACTTGCAAGAGTTATATACCGTCCACCATTGAAGGACATTCTGCGAGGATCGTGGGGGTTTTCTTTTCCTTTTCGTTGCAGGAACAAAGGGACAACTTCTGAAATGGACAACTTCAGCTTTGGATGGCTCGTAGAAACTGGGAAAGGTCAAATAGGAACTTCATTCCAAAGCGATTCACCAGTTGAACAGGATGTTTTGGCCCAGTGTCATAAAGTAAATTTGGCTGCTGCCCCCAGACTGAACCGACGCAAAGAATACCTTGAGGGGAGAGAGATAAGAAAAGTGTCATTCTACCTTTTTTAAAAAAAATAAAAATAAAAATATGGAGCATCACTGGATAATATTTCATACACTTCAAATTGCATAAATACGTCAGCCTGCTTTCATCCATAAATGCAGGCAGTTCTTGGCTTACAACCAAAACTGAGCCCAGAATTTACATTGTTTAAGTGAGCCATTTGTGAAGTGAGTCTTATGACCATTCTGGCCCCAGTTGTTAAGTGAACCACTGCGGTTGTTATGTTAGTAACACAGTCATTAAGCGAGTCTGGCTCCCCTGTTGACTTTCCTGGTTAGAAGGTTGCACAAGAAGCTCCATAGACAATATGGGGGGAAACCCAGTCTTTGAACAAGATTCTCACTAAGTTCTTCAACCGGAGGACCTTCTGCCTCTCTTCTAGGAGCACAACTAAAAACACCAGACCTTTTCTGGAGCAAGGAGTGGATGAATTCCTTTCCACCCTCCCAATTTCTGCATAAACTGCATTGTGGGGAAAATCTGTTCTTCTATCAAGATTCTCACAAGGTTCTTCAAGCAGAAGGCCTTCTGCCTTTCTTCTAGGAACACAACTCAAAACACCAGACTCCTCTTTTGGAACAAGGGGTGGATGGATACCCTCTTACCCCTCCCAACGTCTGCATAAACTACAATGTGGGGACAATCTAGTCTTCTATCAAGGTTCTTGGAAAGTTCTCAGAAGGTTCTTCGACCAGATGTCTTGTCTCTCTTCTAGGAACACAACTAAAAACAGCAGACACCTCTTCTAGAGGAAGGGATGGATGAATTCCCTCCCATCACCACCTCCCAACTTCTGTACCGTATACCTTATCATTCCTTTCGCAGAGAAATTTCAGCTTCTGAGCTTTCTTGTGCATAAACACGCCTTCCAGACATCCCGTTTCCACAGCACGCAGTTCAATTGCTTTCTCACCCCAGCCCATCACTTGGTTGGACTGAAGATAAGCTTTTAGAAAAAGAAAGAAAGAAAGAAAGAGTTAGTGGAGCTTTTTCTTAAAAAGGAAAAAAAGAAAACCCACAAAAACAAAGACAAGTGGCAGAGAAAGGGCTGAATAAATGGCTCTCTTCATGGGAAGCTGTTGGCAATAGTAATTCCCACCCCCTTATTTCTGGTATTTGCAGTGAAGGCTCCATCTGATAACAAGAAGCATTACAATCTTGTGCGACTTTGGCTTTAGCCCGGACAGGACTGTTTTATATATGCTTGGAGCCAGAAGGGAGGGAGCAGTGTGTGTGTGTGTGTGTGTGAGTTTCCTGGCTATATTGTTAATGGGCCGAACATCTTGGCTCTCGTGTGTACCTCGAATTCAACTTTTTAAACGCTTTCTACTGTTTTAAGTATTGTTTATTGTTTTAAAATGTTTCTAAATTTTTATTTTTTTAAGGGGTAGACTTTTTTTTAAAGTTTAAATTGTAGAGTTCTTAATTGTAGATATTCTGGGTTGTGAGCCAGCCAGAGTCTTTTACTGAGACGAGTGGCTACTGAAATTGAACAACCAACCAGCCAACCAACCCAACCAACCAACCCAACCAGCCAACCAACCAACCAACCAACCAAACCAACCAACCAACCAAACTAACCAACCAACCAACCAACCCAACCAACCAACCCAACCAACCAATCAACCAACCAATCAACCAACCAACCCAACCAACCAAACCAAACCAACCAACCAACCAACCAAACCAACCGACCAACCAAACTGACTGACCGACCAACCAACTAACCAAACCAACCAACCAAACCAACCAACCAACCCAACCAACCAACCAACCAACCAACCAACGAACTAAACTAACCAACCAACCAATCAACCAAACCAACCAACCAACCAAACCAAACCAAACCAACCGACCAACCAAACCGACTGACCAACCAACCAACAAACCCAACCCAACCAACCAACCAACCAACCAAATAACCAAACAACCAAACATTGTCTCTAGTGGCAGAGAAGCCATAAGTTCTTACCAAAGGACCATTTCCAGGATTTGTTGAATCAACTACAAAGATGAACCTCCACTGCCCTTAATTGTTTAAAAATATTCCTGGTGTGTTTCCTACAAGGCTTTTCCTCTGAGCCAGTCAACCTTTCTCTCCCCTCTTCCATGTTTAAAACTGAACCTAAAAGGCCTTTTTACATCTTTTAAGACAGACAGAAGTAAGACATATTAAGGGAATGTCAGTGGAGCATCTCAATCATTCAGGTCATGGTTGTCCCCAAAGGTGTGTCTTTATTTTTCGTTCCAAAAGGCAACTGGACTTCCTTAGTGTTTCCTTTGAAAACCTTTCGCTTCTCCTCTAAGAGGCTTCTTCAGTTCTAACTGTTTCTTGGAGGAGAAGTGAAAGGTTTACAAAGGAAACACCAAGAAAATCCAGTTGCCTTTTGGGAAAAAAAACCCACACCTTTGGGACACTAAGGGAACATTTAATAGACAACACAAAGTCATACCATCAGCAAGAGGGTCTCAATCAGGGGTGGGCTGCTGAGGGTTCGCAGGGGTTCGGGAGAGCCCCAAGCTAAGATTCTGCGCAGTTCAGAGAAGCCCCAAATCCCACTCCTGGCTGGCCCCACCCACCCCTCCCCTCCCAGGAGTCTCCACGTGGCCTGTTTTGGGTGCAGGTAAGTGCAAGTGTCAGGGTTCCAGAAATTATCCATTCCAATCAGTAACTCTGAGACAACCATAATCTCAAAGTGCTTGATTAAAACAGAAACTTGGCACGTCTGTGGAATTCCGAAACTAAAGGTTCCTCCCAAACTTCCCACAAGACTCAACCTACACCCACCCCTTTTCTTTCACATCATAAATCACGTGAACCAATCACCCTTCAGCTCCAATTCTTGCTGCGCCATAGAGAATGACCTTGAAGGGTTTATCTATCTATTTTGTCTACTGAAAGCTACTCAAACAACGGCAGACCCCTTCCACCCTCCACAGCTGTGTGGCAGCTTTTAATAAGGATTCCAAAGCTGACAGCGGGGCCTGCACGGAGGTTTGGGGAGGGCAAAAAACTGCCCCCCCCCAGAAGTTCAAGAAGGCCGGAAATGGGCCTGTTTCTGGCTTCCAGAGAGCCTCCGGAGCCTGGGAATCTCGAGGAAAGCCTCAGGAGCCTGGGGAGGGCAAAAACAACCCCCCCCACCATGTGCAGGAGGCTGACTAGGCCACGCCCACCACGGCCACACCCACCCAGCAACCGGGCAGAAAACCCGTTGCTAAAATTTTTGAAGCTCACCCCTGGAAAACACCTTTTGGGACACTAAGGGAACATTTTACAGACCACAGAATGTCACCACCATCAACAAGGGGGGGGGGGGCTCAACGTCAGGACCTCTAAAACTGTAGGCATCTCCCCCCCCCACCCCCCAGCTCATCTGCAACATGTAGCTAAATTGTGACCGGGAGGGGAAAATAATTTATATTTTGATTACATTCTAGTTGTGTTCATTGTTTACACTGGGGCTTTCTTCCTGCCGCCACCTGCTGCATTGCCCACATTTGCATTATCTTTGACCTGCCCTCCAAAACCTAGAGAGAGAGAAAAAGAAAGCTAAACCTTCCTTTGAAAGTTGTCTCAGTATCACACGATCTCTCCCTAAAATTTGAGAGAACCAGTGAATTTCCCTCCGTCTGCGAGATACTGCAAGTCCGTTGGCTGATGCCAACATTAAACACGATTTTCTTTCTTGGAAATCCCACCTCCCTTCCTAAGAGGAAGCTACCCTGAGTCAGGAGAAGACACCAAGATCCTTAGGAGTTTGTTTTTCTTCTTTGCACATCCCTCCTTCCCCACAGCCCTCCTCTCCTTATTATCGGAACCTTTTCAATCTGAAACTCGGGTCCAGGGATGGTGTGGTTTCTATGAATCAGCAAACCGCACAGGGAAGGCTTTCCAGCTGACATAAGGAGAGAAATGCTTTCATAAATAACTGGTTAGATAACATTTCCAGATGTTGACGGGCCTCCAAAAAAATACGGACTGTTTGTTCCCGCCGAGGCAAGCCCGAGCTTGCCCCACATCTATCGTTCGATCACCAGGCTGCAATCCCAGAGCTGCAGCTTCCTATAAATAGATGATGGCATCTGCTGCTTGGACCTTCTAATCTCCGTGATGTAGCTGGCAGAGCTGGGAGAAAACGAATGTGCTTCCCTATCCAGCTGTTTTTTTCCCCCTTTAGTAGTTCCTAGATCGGGGTGTCAGCTCTGGAAACCATATTGAGATCATATGCTCCCACACTGACAGGCGTCCCCCCTTGAAAAAAATCACATCCTAGCATGGGTTGTTGTTTTCTGCTTGATTTTTTGTCTGCTGTCAATCCCTGCTTATCTGGGTTTTGGCTGCTGGAGTGGATGTGTTCTGGTTTAAACAAGGAGCAAACCCCACTTCCTTCTAGCACTGATGAGGTTATCTAATCAGGTAATGAAATGTCTTCCTTGAACAGGGTGTTGTTTTCTGCTTGATTGTTTCTCTGGCGTTAATCCCTGCTTATCTAGGTGCTGGCTACTGGAATGGATGTTCTCTGGTCTTAAACAGTGAGCAAACCCCACCCTCACTAGTAGACAGTGGCATTCAGCAGGTCCTGAACAGTTCTGGAGAACCGGTAGCAGAAATTTTGAGTAGTCTGGAGAACCGGCAAATACTGCCTCTGACTGGAGATTTTACAGTATCCTTCCCATGCTATGCCCACCAAGTCACACCCACAGAACCGGTAGTAAAAAATTTTTGAATCCCATCACTGCTCACTAGCACTGATGAGGTTACCTAAGTAATGAAATGTCTTCCTTGGTAGTTCCTCGATCAGGGTATTGTTTTCTGCTTGATTATTTCTCTGGCGTTAATCCCTGCTTATCCGGGTGTTGGTTGCTGGATAGCCTGTGTTCTGGTCTTAAACAACGCCACCCTCATTAGCCCTGATGAGGTTATCGAGTCAGGCAATGAAATGTCTTCAAGAAAAGTACCAAGCTCAGAGACCACCAAGGCCTCCACAATTTACAATCCGAGCTACAGAGATTATCTTTCATTAGAAAAATGGGTGTAGCCGTGTTTCTAATTTCATGGGTAAGCTAAATCTAGACCAAGGTATTTGTTTTCTGCTTGATGGTTTATCTGGTGTCAATCCCTGCTTATCTGGGTGTGTGCTGCTGGAGTGCATACATCCTGTCTTTAAACAGAGAGCAAACAATACCCTCACTAGCCCTGATGAGGTTACCTGGTCAGGTAATAAAATGTCTCCAAGAAAATTACCAAGCCTCCAAGGCCTCCACAGTTCAACCCTGAGCTACAAAGATTATCTTCCATTGGAAAAATTGGTGCAGCCAAGTTCCTAATTCCATGGGTTATCTAGGTTTCTTGGGGAACCAGAAAAAAATATAACCTCCACACATCCCTAAATTTCATAGAAGGCACACATGATATAAAATATTAAAAGCCAGTTTGCACCATTTTGGGAGAACCGGTTGTTAACTTTCTGAGCAATTTGGTGAACTGGTTGTTGGAAGAAATCATTAGGGCAGAGAACCGGTTGTTAAATTATTTGAATCCCACCACTGGGTGTACCCTTATCCAAACTGACTGAAGGGAAAAAGAAGATCCATTTCTAATGATATCCCTGCCACCCTATTTTCAAAGTATCAGCCTCTGTGTCCAGAGAAACCCTGCATTTCAGCTGCACATTTTTTGAAAAGCCAACAACTTAAGCTTCCCCAATTTAATTTCCCTCCGGAGTTAAGTTTCCTTGTTCCAATTACCAGAACAACCCCACCAGTCTAGCTTGCCCTAAATTCTTAAAGAGCTCCCTATGTTTCATTTCTTGAACGATATTGATCATTTTATTCCTCCACCAGTTAAATTTTTGCAAATGGCTTCATTTTATTGATAACGTTCATGACACAGCAGCTGGTCGAAATAAGTCAGAATTAAGGGGTCAGCTTATTCTCAAAAGCACCCAGAAGGCAAGAAAAGAAACAATGGTTGGGAACTAATCAAAGAAAGAAGCAACCTGGAATTAAGGAGAAACTTCCTAACAGTGAGGACAATTAACCAGCTTGCCACCAGAAGTTGTGGGTGCTTCATCACTGGAGGTTTTTAAGAAGAGCCTGGACAGCCGTTTGTCTGTAATGGTTATAGGTCTCCTGCTTGAGCAGGGGGTTGGACTAGAAGACCTCCAAGGTCCCTTCCAGCTCTATTCTGATAGATTGAACAGCCTCCTGAAACAGTGTGGCTTTGACTGGATATCTATTCATACTTGAGAAAGTGTTTCCTCAAATAATAATAATAATAATAATACAAGAGCTCCCCTTGAACTGTAAGCAATGTTTAGAGAAAAACAAAGACGATGCTTTTAGGAAAAAACAACCTGTTCTTTCATCCCTGCCTTTTGTCTTTTTCTAAAAAAATGTCTTTTTTTTTCTTTTCACTCAACATTTATTACAGTTCATTGATCCTGGGTTTTTTCCTGCAGAAATCCATTTCTGTTGCTTCCATCCTTGGTCTTCCTTTCCAACCTCAGACCTGGTTCTGAAAAACAGCTTGGAGGCAATTGTCTACTTTAATAGAAAAAAAAATCAAATATTCTGCCTTATCAGCTGCACATAGTACCAAGATAAGAAAAAAAAAATATCTACAGCATTCCAGGTTCCTTCCAGTATTATGACTACAGCAAGTTGTAACTTAGCCTGATTCCTCCAGGATATATTTTTCAAATTTCCAGACAGGCTCGATACAAAAACCTAGGATTATTCTAGTCTAAAACCCACTTACTAATAGCACTTTTATCTCTGAGAACTTCACATCTTGCAGCTAATGCTAGATTGTCAAGATGCGAGCACTTGACATTATACAGACAGTGTTAAACATCAATGTACCAGGGAGGACAATTGTCTTGACATGTGTTAATTATATCATGCGGTTCTGATTCTTAATTTAAAAGAAAAAGAAAAAGAAATCATTGGGAAGGTGAAGTATTGTGACAATGCCAACACCAAAGAGGAAATGACTTGCCTTGCTCTATGAAGTAACAAGAGAAGAGAACATCAGTAGCTCAGGGCTGAACTATGGGGTCCTTGCTGCTTTCTGAGCTTGGTTGTTTTCTTGCAGACATTTCAATTACCCAACTAGGTAACATCATCAGTGCTAGTGAGTATGATGTGTACTCCCTATTTATATACAGTGGTTTGTCCTGCCAGTGTTGATGGGAATGTGGTTTTCTCCTGGGTAGTTCTACGATTAGGGTATTGTTTTTCACTTGACTGTTTGTCTGGTCTTAATCCCTGTTTATCTGGATGTTGGCTGCTGGAGATGGCCTTTTCTGGTCTTAAACAAAGAGCAAAACCTACTCCTTCTATCACTGAAGTTGTTACCTAGTTGGGTAATGAAATGTCTGCAAGAACACAACCACACTCAGAGAGCACCAAGAACCCCACAGTGCTTTTCCTCCTCCCCTTCTCTTTCTCTTCCTCTTCACAGTTTTCTTCCTCCTCCCCTTCTCTTCCTCTTTACAAACCCCACTTCCTTCAACCACTGAAGTTGTCAACTAGTTGGGTAATGAAACATCTGCAAGAAAACAACCATACTGTGATGACCCGGGGTGTGGCACAAAGGCAACACAGCCAGAGAATAAGTAGAGGTTCTTTTATTAGCTCCAACTTTGCCCCCAATGACCCGGTTATCTTCCGGTCTGGAGAAAAACCCTCCCATGAACCTGCACCAGCCTTTGGCTGCAGATATTCTAGTTCAAACATTGTAAACTGAAAAATTTAAACTATAAAATCAAGGCAAAATAAGGCAATAAATGCTGCAGAGCAAGATGGGGAGTTCCAGAAATGAAGTAACAAGGCAGTAAATCAAACCAGTTGGGAGGATGCCAGGAACTCAGATAACAGCAGCCAACATGAGATAAACTCAATGTTTTTTCCCAACGAATGCTGCTCTCACTTGCCTCTCCATTAAACTCTCTTCCCAGATGTGCCTAATGAAGGGAATCAGGGCCCTTTCCTCACCCATAAGACAAACCACACATGTTGCTCTCTTCTCTGTTCCATCCCTCCCTAGGATGAAGAGGGAGTGGGCCTGGGTCTTCCCCTGAACCCCCTCTCCCTTGTTCTACCTCTTCCCTGCTCTGTCCAGCCTGACTTTGCCCTTCCCCAGTTTCTTCCACAGCCAACAGAGCCACACTCCCAGTCCCTGAAGGCTGTTCATCTTCCTCCTCGGATCCAGACTCTGACAAGGGCATAACATATACTGAGAGAGCCACAAGGACCACATAATCCTCCTTCTCCTCCTCTTTGCAAACCCCACTCCCTTCTAGCACTGATGATGTTCCCCGGCTGGGTAATGAAACATCTGCAAGAAAACAACCAATAAGCACCAAGGACTTAGAAGGAACAAGAGTAACTGTGATTTGTCCACTCCCGTGTATGGTAGGTGCCCCAAACACATTTAGAAGAGGAGCTGCAAACCTCAGCACAGTTGCAATCATTGACACGTTCCCACGTACATGGAAATCTGGTTCTTGTGGGTCTTCTACTCCCCGTCCATTCATACGTACCTACTGATGTGGGCATTTCCCCCCACTGCAAAATGTTTTCTTTGGAGAAGTGCCCATAGATGTTAAGGTAGACTCCTTCATCTTCATAAGCCAGTAGAAGTTCCATCCCGCTGGTGTTCCGGAGAATGATAATAGCGTGCGGATGAATATTTCCCTGGATCTGGAATAACATTTGATGAAGATTTACATCATGGAACAAGTTACAATTTAAGGAACTGCAGTCCATCAATTTCGGTGTCATGACACTGCATTAAAAATCAACCAGCTTGGAGATCTGAGAAGCGAAAAAAGATTTATCTCTTTGAAAATGTCGGTGTACTTTCTTCCGGATTCAGCGCCGACACAAAGGGAAAGGCATTTCTGTCTTTTTTAAAATATCAAGGTTGAGCTGCTACCTGAGGAAAAAGGTGTTTCTTTTATCCCTCTTGTAAATATCAAAGATCATCTCGAAGCTTCTATTCAGGGTTTGCCTTTGAATTTGGTGAGTATCATGTTGTGAAAATAAATAAAACCCAGGGTAATTTGGATGCAGTAGGACGTGCAACATAGCATTGTAAAAATGATTGTAAAGGGCATTTTAGCATAGAAATTATCCTGTTAAAAATTCTTACAAACATTACAGAATTATACAAAACAGTGTAAAAATAAACGATGATAAAGCAATAGATGACATAAATGCACACAGGCTGACTGAGATTATTCTAACGATAACGTTTTTGTTTTTGTTTTAGTTCCATTCTCAATCATTTCCTATCATGGCATACATAACTTATTAGCTTAGGCGCGGAGGGCATTTTGTTCTATAACTTTACATTAATTCAACCAGCAACTACTAAAACTTCAGTTCTTCCTGAAAACGAGGGGAAAAAAAATAATAGAATCACAAAATTGGTGTACGTGGTAGTTAGAAAGGTGGCTCAACTAAATTGCAATATTGAAGTATTTTGCATGCGTTTTATTTACCGGTATATCCAGGGGAGCTATGTAAGCCAGAAATTAATACATGGTGTGCTTTTTAAAAATACACTACATGACTTCTAGTTCAACAGATCTGGAAACAATACCAGGGAAGCAATTTTCATTACAAGAATAATTTATTTGTTTTTCTAGTTCCAGCATTCTTATAGGCCTAAACCCCATCTTGACGGAAAAAGAGAGGCCACTTCATTTTATTATAGGGATATTTTTATTTTATCCTTACTTTTTACCTCTTCAGTGTGTGTCTCTGGATTTGCTTCAACCAAGCCTGATAACAACACTCAAGACTGCATGGCATAAAGTTTTGTGACACACAAGAGAAAAATTGTGTCTGAGTCTAGAGGTTTTTTTTTTTTTAGACATTGGATAGATGTAGGAGTTTGACAAAAAAAAATTGATAAAAAGGGACACGGTGGCTCAGTGGCTAAGACGCTGAGCTTGTCGGTCAGAAAGGTTGGCAGTTCGAATCCCTAGTGCTGCGTCACGGAGTGAGCTCCCGTTACTTGTCCCAGCTTCTGCCAACTTAGCCGTTCGAAAGCACATAAAAAATGCAAATAGAAAAATAGGGACCATTTTGGTGGGAAGGTAACAGCGTTCCATGCGCCTTCGAAGGCATTTAGTCATGCCGTCCACATGACCACGGAGACGTCTTCGGACAGCGCTGTCTCTTCGGCTTTGTAACGGAGAGGAGCACCGCCCCCTAGAGCCAGAAACGACTCACATGTATGTGCGAGGGGAACATTTACCTTTTAGACTTAGGAGAATCAAGGTAGAATGATGTCTGAGGGAGACACCAAAAAAAAAAAAAAGCATTGAACTTGCCCCTTGGCTGCCTCATAGCTAGAAGGACAGAAGGACATCACCCATGAGAGGTCCACCCGAGTGATATTCTGCATCGAAAGAGATGGCAAAACCCAATCTGCTTTCATCCAAGAGAAGGGACATGGGTGAAAAACAAAATGCAGATTTGTTTACGGCATGACATTATGCACTTAAAGGGGGCGTGCATAAGCACACCAGCATGCCTACTGTCCCTGTCTTCATTTATCTGTATTAACTTCCTTTATTCCTGTTTATGTTCATACTTATGCTTGTTATCTTGTACATGTTTGACAAATAAATAAAATAAAATAAAATTATGGGAGATTGTCAAATCAGATGCTAAGAGGAGTCTACAGGTGGGTTTCCCTCAGGGGTGGGATTCTACCAGTTCGCACCTATTCACTAGAACCGGTTGTTAACATTCTAAGCAGTTCGGAGAACCGGTTGTTAGAAGAAATTACTGGCCTAATCCTGTAAGGAAGGCAGGAAGGAAACATTCTGGTGTTGCTTACAGAAATTCTCTCTCCGTTAACCCTTATTACATTCTCAACAGGACTAGACTCCCTGTCTCTGGAACTTCTCTGGTTTTTTTTTTTCTCCTTTACTGGCACTTTGCCTGTGTGGAGTGACCATTCAAAGTTACAATGGCACTGAAAAAAGTGATTTATGACCATTTTTCACACTTACGACTGTTGCAGCATCCCCACAGTCATGGGAGGCCAGGCGAGGAGATGCGTGCCTCGATGTGAGTGATGTTGAGTTGTCCACGCCCAGCCAGTCACATGACCACCAACCCACGTCCATCCAGTCACATGACAACTAAGCCACGCTCACCAACTAAGCTACGCCCACAGAACCAGTTGTTAAAAAATGTGAATCCCACCCCTGGTTTCCCCTCGTTTCATCTTGCAAATCAACATATGGGAAGAAGAAGGCACTATAGATTGGGGTTAAACCTAACGTCAGTTCTTTTCTCCTAACCTCACATCGCCCTCTGATCTGATTTGATGCAGAGAAAAATCCCTATTTAATATAGCCTAAATCCCAGTGATTTCTCTGGTTGAGTTCCAGCTAGGTTCCAGCTGTCTAAATAAATACACATATTGCTTGAAAGTCATTTAGAGGCTTATATATAAGACATGTTAAAACCCACAGATAAAAACGCACTCAGGAGAAACAAGTTGTGCTTAAAAACACCAAAACAAAACCCTCTTCGGCACACCTTCCACCCAGATGCAGAGCAATCTTTCAGTTCCCGCTATAAAATTTTCAGAGAGCTTTAAGCAATTTAGAATATATAACTTCTCAAATCCTAGCCAGCTTCTCAAGAGAGAGAAAGAGAGCGAGAGAGAAAGGATTTTCAGCAGCATCCATAAAGAATTTTTTTTTAATAAAAAAACCAGAAGGCAAAATTAATTCCACAGACAATCCCACCTGTACAATACAAGAGTCACGAGCGCCTCAAAAATCTAATTAAGTTGGAAAGAATGGCTACTATTGGTGTTTTTTAAAAAAAAACACAAATGAAGAAACCCAGGACTGCAAAGCACCCAGCCTATTAAAGCCTTCGTGCAATTCTTAAGACTCAGAATAATTTTATTGTCCCTTTGAATGTACACTAATCGGCATACATTAAAATGAAATTTCGTTGCATGCAGCTCTCAAAGAGCCTCCACCTCCAATATACACTACATATACATGACAAAAAATTTTTTTTGCACATACCCACATATATTATAGGACACAGAGAAACAACACAGTCTAGTTCGGATGTATACATGTACATTTTACAGAATCAGGTAGGTAGTCCTGCTGGAAATACTTCGAAACTTCCTCCCAGAGGGGAGCAACACAGAACAGACTGTGATGTGGGTGCGGGGGGTCTCTAACATTGCTTCAAGCTCTAAGCACATAGTGCTTATAAGCAGTATCCTGAATAACGGGGTGCAAGTTTCCTAAAAATCTTCTCCGCTGTCCTCACCACTCTCTGTAGGGACTTTCTATCTGAGGCACTGTGGACAGCAAACCAAACAGAGATGCCGTTTGTCGAAACACTTCTAGCTGCCAAGCAAATCTGGCCAAACAAGGACAAGCACAAGAAACTCTACTTGCTAGACGTACTTGCCCACTCGTGTAGTCTGGGATCACTGCCGCAACTATCCGCAACACCAAAATAGGGATCCAGAGCCGGAAAGCTATTTTAATATGCTGCCTCGGATTGAGCGGCATGAGCAATTGAAGCAGAGAAGCCGAAAGCATGAAGACAAAAAACAAAAAAAAAAGAGGGAGAGAGAGAGAGATGGATTCAGAGTCAACGTGTTCAGTGTGTTGGCTTTCAAAGATGCCGGCTCCAAATGGAGAATTTCAGAAGAGAATTATTCACGTCTCCAATCCTGACAGCTACAGCTCAGCAGGAAGAGGAGGAGGAGGAGGAGGAGGAGGAGGAGGAGGAGGAGGAGGAGGAGGAGGAGGAGGACAGTAATCGTTCTTCAATTTCTACCCTCTTGAGGGAATGTGTATTTTTAGTGTATTCCATCTTAACGGTGACAAGCCAGCCAAAATTGGAGCCAGAAGGTCTCCTCAGGGAGACCCCCTATTGAGGGCAACCGATGGGGAAAGATTGCTCCTCGCGCAGATAATTGAATGGGGAGTTTGCTGTCGAAGCCAATCTTTTCTTTAAAAACATTATCCCTTTTCATTGGGCTGGTTTACTTTTTATTTGGGACATCCGATGACCTCGTTTATCTTTGCATCCTGTCCTAAAACTGACTTATTTTGCATGGGTTTATGGGAAGGATTTGAAATGAACCTGGAACCATGCAGGAATAGAGGCAGTCCTTGGACTTACAAACACAATCGAGCGCAATGTTTCTGTTTCCAAAGACGTCAGGAGAAACATTCAAAATCAACCAATCTCAACCTGACACCCTTCAGGTGTGTTGATGTCCCAGCAAAGGCCAAGATCCTTGGAGAATTCTGGGAATTGAAGTCCACACATCGGGAGGGGACATGAGTGGGGAAAATTGTCCTACGTAATAGCAATAGCACTTAGATTTATATACCACTTGACAGTGCTTTACGGCCCTCTCTAAGTGGTTTACAGAGTCAGCCTCTTGCCCTCAATAATCTGGGTCCTCATTTTACCCACCTTGGAAGGACAGAAGACTGAGTCAACCTTGAGCCAGTCAAAATCGAACTGCTGGTAATGGGCAGAATTAGCCTGCAACGCTGCATACTAACGACTGGGAGGGAAGGGAAGGGCAAGAAGGAAGGAAACGAAGGAAGGAAGGAAGGAAGGAAGGAAGGAAGGAAGGAAGGAAGGAAGGAAGGAAGGAAGGAAGGAAGGAAGGAAGGAGAGGGAGGGCAGTAGCTAAAGCATTTAGACATATACTGCTTCACGGTGCTGTACAGCCCTCTCTAAGCAATTTACAGAGCCAGCCTATTGCCCCCAACAATCTGGGCCCTCCTTTTACCCACCTCGGAAGGATGGAAGGCTGAGTCAACCTTTAGCTGTGATGGATGGATGAATAGATGGATGGATAGGGAAGGGAAGGGAAGGAGAAAGAAAAGGAAGGAGGGGAGGGAGGGAGGGAGGAAGGCAGTAGCTATAGCACTTAGACTTATATACCACTTCACAGTGCTTTACAGCCCTCTCTAAGTGGTTTACATAGTCAGCCTCTTGCCCTCAACAATCTGGGTCCTTGTTTTACCCACCTCAGAAGGCTGAGTCAACCTGGAGCCCCATGAGATTCGAACTGCCAAATTACAGTCAGCCAGCAGTCAGCAGAAGTAGCCTGCAGTACTGCACTCTCACCACTGCGCCACCGTGGATCATCATTATCATCAATCAAGCTGGATAGTTAACAGATGAAGTGCTACACCACCATCTAGTAGAGTCTATATCTAAACTCCATGGTCTGGGAAGTTCACGCAGATCTCGTGATCTTCAAAAATGTCTCAAAAGGAGATACTTACATGTGTCGGCAAATATAGGTCATACACCGAGCCAGAGTCCACGTCAATGGCATGAAATCCTACGGCTGACCCATAAGTAACTTTCAGCCGCTGCCCGTTCTCCACAGTCAAATTAACCAAGAGTGGTTTTTGGGGAAGCGAGGTGAAAGACTGTAGAGGAAGAGAGATTTTTTTCAAGTTTACACACCAGAATCTCGTCAATTAATGGTCAGCATTAAATTTGTACCAAAGGAGGATCAACAGAATTCAAGGGAAGCTAGATTTGGAACATTTGTGGCAATGTAAGGATTCTAAGCTGATGACACATTTAACCCCGCCTCCCAAAGCATTGCCTGCTCTTCTCCGACATGAAAAGCAAACCATTTCAGAGTTTGGATAAACCTAAGCATAGATATAAAACAGATTTACGCCACTTCCCTATCACAACTTCCCTCCACCCCAGTGGTGGGATTCACATTTTTTTACTACTGGTTTTGTGGGTGTGGCAGGGGAAAGATATTGTAAAATCCCCATTCCCTTCCTCCACTCCTGGGGGATAGTTACTGCAAAATCCCCATTTCTACCACACCCCACTAACCTACTTTCCAGCTCTGTTCTCCTGTGCAGGGCAACAAAAGAAGATGCAGCTGATCAACTGGACTCAGGAGGCGGAGAATAGATGGGGGCGGGGCCAGTCAGAGGTGATATTTGCCGGTTCTCTGAACTACTCAAAATTTCCGCTACCGGTTCTCCAGAACTGGTCAGAACCTGCTGAATACCACCTCTGCTCCACCCCCGCTACAAATCCAATGAAGTGCAATTGGTTGAAAATCCTTTTGCTTCCATTCCTTAGCCTCCATCACAAGCCAAATATTCCTGGGCCCGTCCACAAAAAGGAACTAATTGGATCAATTTAAGTTCTGCCATTTACCTTAAAAGCCATAAATTTGTGATATGGCTTGGGAGCCCAAGCGTAGACTTCCACCGAATTCTTCACGGCAATCACCAGGAACTTGATCCTCTCGTATTTCACTAGAAAGCAATCATTTCTTTTTTAATTGGCTAAGCATAAAGATTGGGAGAGCATTCTAAATCACTGTTTAAACAGCCAGGGTGTGTAGCCAAATGTAACAGGATTTTGATCTAGTGTGAATGCAACAGGAGTTGATCTACGATGCCGGAGAAAGTTGAGGGTCACGCAAAGACCTTGGTTTATCCCAGGATTCTAGCTCTTAGATCTACTACAGTTCCTCATTTGCATATTCATTCGGGAATAATTCAAAGCTAAAACGAACTGAAAGTAATCAAGCCCCAGCAGAATCATTATGTAAAGACTTATGTTAAAAACAGAGCATCAACGATAATATAAATCTTGGTAAGATATTATCTCAATAGCCCCCTTCTCATGCTACAGATTGTGTGCAAATAACTTGTCTCAGCACACTGTATATAGTTGTAAGATATATTCCGGGATCCTGTGTTGAACAAACAAGGGTTGCATTAACCTCCAAATCTAGATTGTGCCAATAAATATACAGATTGGTTTCTGTCATATATTTCTGTCGTGAAATTGCTTCTGTGTATAATTTTTTTTTTGCCACATCTCATGTGTCCATGTTTTATTTATATATTTATCTATTTTATTTATTTATATATTTATTTATCAAACATTTTCATTTTCTTTTTTTTGTCTTCTTATGGATTCTTTTTTTTGAGGGGGGGTTTGTATTTTGTATTTTAACCTTGTCTTGAATAATAGATAGATAAATAGATAGATATGGATAGATATGGATAGATGAATAGATGGATGGATGGATGGATGAATGGATGGATAGATGGATGGATAGATAGATTGATTGATAGAGATAGATAAATAGAGAGAGATAGAAAGATAGATATGGATGGATAGATGGATGGGTGGATATAGATAGATAGATAGATAGATAGATAGATAGATAGATAGATAGATAGATGTGGATAGAGATGGATAGATATGATAGATGGATGGATGGATGGATGGATGGATGGATGGATGGATGGATAGATAGATAGATAGATAGATAGATAGATAGATAATGGATAGATGGATAGATGGATAGATGGATAGATGGAGATATAATATAGAAATATGTATAGATATGGATGAATGGATAGATAGATAGATATAGATATATAAAGAAAGAATGAGCCTTGTTTTGCCTGACCCTTATTTTAACTGTGTTCAGTGCCCTTCCAGGGAAAGGACGACCCTCACCAACTTTGTAGTGTACACAGCCTTCTAGATCGCCCACCGAGACCCAGCCTTGTCGTTTCTCCACATCGGGATCATTCCGCAGAATCTTGTTTCGTAGCCAAGACAGATAATATACCCGTAGCTTATTCTTTTTGCCTGTGTGGAACAGAAGCAAAAAAAAAAAAGAGGAGCATATTAAAATTGACTTCTGCAGACAATTCCATCACTGTCAGGGTTGTACTAAGCTAGATCATAAAATTATAGAGTTGGAAGCAGATTCAGCCGGTTCTGACCAGTTCTGGAGAACCGGTACAGGAAATTTTGAGTACTTTGGAGAACTGGCAAATACCACCTCTGATTGGCCCCGCCCCCATCTATTCTCCACCTCCCGAGTCCCAGCTGATTGGCTGGGTCTTCTCTGGTTGCCCTACATAGGAGAATGGGGCTGGAAAGCAGGTTAGTGGGGTGGGGAGGGAATGGGGATTTTGCAGTATCCATCCCCTGCCACGCCCACCAAGCCATGCCCACAGAAATGGTAGTAAACATTTTTCAATCCCACCACTGCCTCCTTCCCTTAACCATTCATTATATGGTTTAGTCTTCAGATCCCTGATCCTCTTCATAAAGGTTTGGCAAGAGGTGGCAACATTTTATAATCTAGTTTTATGGCCTAATCGTCCCCCTCTCTCATTGCTTGGTGTTGAATGGTCGGTGAGAAGCTTTTGGACCGCAAACAAACCTGAGATGGTAATTAGCACGTTCAATCCTTCCAACACATCCATCTGTTGAAAGCGTCTCCGACTGATCAAGGAATAAACTCGACCTTGTCCACTCCGATCCAGAAGCCACAATCCGTTTTCAGATCCAACCAGTAAATTGACCCCTGTTGAAGTGCGAAGAACATAGCACAGAATGACAAGCGTATCTTTGGAATGGCTGGGTCTTTCAACCATGGTTTGGGTCAAAACAAACAGCCTGGAAACAATCCAAGAACAGAATGTACCCGCCGGAAAATTTTAGACCAAAGAAAATGCAGATGGGTTGCAGATAAGCAGAGTTGGAAGGGACCTTGGAGGTCTTCTAGTCCAACCCCCTGCTCTGGCAGGAAATCCTATACCCGTGATGGCGAACCTATGGCACACGTGCCACAGATGGCACGCAACGCCATTTGTGCTGGCACGCGAGCCGCATGCGTGCACCTCCCAGCTGATTTCTGGCCTGTTTGAGGCCTTTTTCGGCCTCCCAGAGGCTTGAGGACAGCTTCTGCAGCCTTTGCAGGTCGAAAAATAGGCCCGTTTCATCACTTCCTGTAATCCCGGAAGTGATGAAACGGACCTATTTTTTAGCCTACAAAGGCTGCAGAAGCTGTCCTCAAGCCTTCGGGAGGCTGAAAATGAGCTGGGAGGAGCAGTGCAGGTAAGGGGGGGCGGGTATTGCATGCGCATGCTCAGGGGGCTTGGCGGGGCGCATGCATTGCCTTCTGGGTGCTGGTACATGAGTGCATGCATGCGAGCGCACACACACTTTTTGGCACAGAAGCCCCAAAAGGTTAGTCACCACTGTCCTATAGACAAATGGTTATCCAATCTCTTCTTAAAAACATCCAGTGTTGTACGCTCCATCCCATATTTGGTTCAGACCAGGTTGCCCTGATTAAAAAAAAACAACCACTTAATCTCTCCCCTCGTATAATCAACAAAGCTAGAAGAGCCCGTGGCTTAGAGGGTAATACATAAAGGCAGGGCTAGATGAATCAAAAATTGGAATTAAGATTGCTAGGAGAAATATCAACAACCTCAGATATGCAGATGACACCACTCTCATGGCAGAAAGTGAAGAGGAACTAAAGAGCCTCTTGATGCAGGTGAAGAAGGAGAGTGAAAAAGTTGGCTTGAAACTCAACACTAAGAAAACTAAGATCATGGCATCCGGCCCTCTCAATTCCTGGCAAATAGAGGGGGAAGAAATGGAGGTAATGACAGGTTTTATTTTCCTGGGCTCCAAGGTCATCGCAGATGGGGACTGCAGCCAAGAAATTAAAGGACACTTGCTCCTGGGGAGGAAAGCTATGGCAAATCTAGACAGCACACTCCAAAGCAGAGACATCCCCCTGCCAACCAAAGTGCGTAGAGTCAAAGACTGTGGTTTTCCCAGTTGCAATGTATGGCTGTGAAAGTTGGACCGTAAGGAAGGCTGAGCGCCAAAGAATGGAGGCCTTTAAACTCTGGTGCTGGAGAAGACTCATGCGAGTCCCTTGGACTGCAAGGCCATCCAACCGGTCAGTCCTAGAGGAGATCAACCCTGACTGCTCTTCAGAAGGCCAGATCCTGAAGATGGAACTCAAAGACTTTGGCCACCTCATGAGAAGGAAGGACTCCCTGGAGAGGAAGAGCCGAATGCTAGGAACGATGGAGGGCAATAGAAGAAGAAGGGGAGGGCAGAGGAGGAGGGGGCTGGATGGAGTCCCTGAAGCAGTCGGCGTGAGCTTAAATGGACTCTGGGAGATGGTAGAGAACAGGAAGGCCTGGAGGAACATTGTCCATGGGGTCGCAATGGGTTGGACACGACTTTGCAAATAATAACAATATGTAAGCAGCCCAGGTTCAAATTCCAGAAAGAGTATGGCTATCTGATGAGAGCTAAATAGCTTGAAATAGATCTATACTATCTCCCTTTACTTTTTTGTCAGTAAATATAAATTTAATCTAGTGTTAGAGCATTCACAACTACTGGAGGCCAGCTGTTCCACTGATTCAAACAGACATCTGAAGAAGACGAGGCTTCCATTAGGTTGGGCTCTGTTGATAGGTTTGATAAGGAAAGTTGTGATGGAAAGAATGAAAACAAAATGGAAGAATTGTGTATCGTGGGTCAGGGTGGGGAGGCAAAAGAAGCTCCAAGCAAGAGGCTGATAAGAAGATGGCGTTCTTCACCTCAGCACACACATCATTAACCAGCTTTGCTATGCTGTTCTGTTCCTAATTTAAAAACTTGGCCTCTTCCAAACATACATCAAACGAAACCCAGAGAGCTGTAAACTGCAAATTTACATTTCCTGGGATAATTTTTTTTCCTGGCGTTTTCATTCGTTTATTTTGTTCCTCATTTAAGACTTAAGTCAAAGCAGAAAGGCACGAGCAAAATATTGTGCCGGCTTCGTGAAGCCTGTCGCTTGATGTCAGAAAGATGAAAAATGAAAGCCGGTGGAGAACCACAAGAATGTAATGTTGAAACAACTGAGAGTGGAGTCCCGCTTTTGGTATATTGAACTTTGAGGTAGGAACCAGGGGTGAGCTTCAAAATTTTTAGCAAAAGGTTCTCTGCCCGGTTGCTGAGTGGGTGTGGCCAGGGTAGGCGTGGCCTAGTTGGCCTCCTGCACCACAGCCGGGCGGGGGGGGGGGGGGTTTTTGCCCTCCCCCCGGCCCCGGAGGCTCTCTGGAAGCTTGAAACAGTCCAATTTCCGGCCTTGCTGAACTTCCGGGCCGTGTGGGAGGGGCGGGGTGGGGTGGGTGGGGCCAAACAGGAGTGGGATTTAGGGGTTCTCCCAACTGCACAGAATCTTAGCCCAGGAGCTCTCCCGAACCCCCAGCAGCCCAGCCCTGGTAGGAACCCATGGTGGCCATCAGCTGATGCCCTCAGTCCATTCCAAAATGGAGGGAAGTAGATGTGTCTAAATGGACACCTTGAGAGGAGATGCCAGACCTCCTTCACCACTCTCAATGCCTCCACCAGATGGAGAGAGGACCAGGTTTGTTGTGGCCTGTCGGCCACCGGTCCCTCCAGCAGCTGAATCAGAGGAGGAGGAGGAGGTATGGGAGTCAGGGTTAGCATCAAGGCAACCTGGGAGCTCCGAGGAGGAAGAGGGAATTGAGCTGGCAGAGAGAGACAGACAGAGGCGGAGCCTGGGCCGTCCGTCAGCCCTCAGATGGAGAGTCAACAGCCCCAGGTCTGGAGGTGGCTGATGAGGAAGAAGAGGAACAGCTGGGCCCAGTGCCTGACGCGTGGATGCACAGAAGGCAGAGGAGAGGAGAGCAGTGGAAATCTATGGGCCGGTCCTTGGGACGGAAGAGCCACCGCTGCTAGCGAAGCCCTACCCTACCTCTGGGGATAAAAGGCAGGGGGCAGAGATGAATAGGTCTGGCACACAACTATTCATCTTCTGGCCTGTGCCGAGAGAGAAACTTTTTGCCAGGGCCGCCGGTACTCCTAATGAAGGAATCTTTAAGTTCACGTCAGAGGGTTTGTCACATTTGAAGAACTGGGTCAGAACAAGGTTCTTGCTTACAATGGGTGCACAAAACCTTTCCTTTCTTAGTTTTACATGAGAAAAAGAAGCAAGGACTCTGTAGAGCAACATCTTGTTGAAGTTCAAGAAAGATATAATAAAGACATAAATAAGTGAATCATTTTCTTAGTGCAATATCTTCCCCCCTGCTCTTTGTGCTCCAGACCTGGGAGCACTAAGTTCCTTGACTGAACATCCACCTCTCCTATCACCCTATCACCAAGACTGTATCCAGATATTATACTAAGCCATGGCTTAGCCATAGTTTGTTGAGTAGAACACAATGCCTGGATCTGTCCACAATCAAACCATGGATACCTCAATGTACTAAGGCCAAACCAAACCAGGTTGAGCAGACACGAGGCAACATAGGGGCACATTTGAACTCTACATTCAAAAGTCTGTGTCCTACATTGTCCGAAAGGGCAAAAAACTGGCCCTGTTGCCTAAACACCTGCCTCTGCTTCAAACCAGGTGACTCACCCCACAGCGCAGCACACAAGATTTCGGAATTGAACTTCTTTTTATATTTGCGGATTTCGGGGCTGTCACTCTGCGGCCGGATATTTGTAGGGTTCACATTGACCACAGAACCTTTTCTTGTATTTTGCCGGCTAGGAGGATCCATTTTCACATTAGACGCTGGAAGAAAAAAGAGAGAAGATTTATGAACATAGCTGTTGGGCTTGAACATCTCTAAAGGTACTCGGAAGAGGACTCGGAAGATGAGGAGGAGGAGGAACTGGGAATGCCTTCCTCCCCAGGACCTTCCTCTCTGGCAATGCCCTCCTCCCTGATAATGCCTCAGGTTTCATCAGACAACCGAGAGGAACAGTTTGAGATTAATCAGGAGGAGGAGGGCATATCGGAGCAGGCCCTGACAGGGAGTCAAGTGGACGAATGTTGGCTTGATCCTAGGCAGCGTCGTAGGAAGAAATGTGAGCTGCAACGTAGGAGGCATGGGAGGGTCAGAGAGTGAGCTGAGTCATTGAGACACACCCCACAGGGGATAAAAGTGGGTGTGTTTTCTCCGGAAACTTTGTACGGGACAAAGTTTACTTCTCTTCCAGGTTTCGTTGTGACTGTTTTTTATGGTCTGCTTTGGAATCTTCAATGAGTAGTTTTTCTTTTCATTTCGGACTTGGCAGGCAGAGTGTGTTGGAATGCCAAGGACATTATCAGTATAAAGGATTAACTCTGTAAAGGCTGAGTCAGCTTGCCTGCCTGTGTTTGTGTGAGTTTGGACTCTTTCATCTTTTTTGGAAAAAAGAAAGGTGAGACATAACAGGTACATGGCATCTATATTCTACTTTCTAATAAGAGTAGGGTGGGTTACGAATTACGATGATGGTTATGACATGTGGTGGGCTGGCAGGGAGAGGAATGGAAGAGAGACAGATGTCAACAATCAAGAGATAGAAAATGAGGCTGTTGGCAACTATCTCCTAAATGACACCTGAGTTCAGGTGGCAAGAAATCCAGGAAGAAGCGTTTCAAATAATTTAAAGAGGTTCTGCTTAAATATTTCCCTATAACTCAGACATTCTTATTAGTTTAGTTTACTTTATTGTCATTGCACCTCGTACAACGAAATCAAACACCAGTGCACATCATGACCATGAAAATAAACACAAACACACATCCTTCACACTCCACACATTGAACCGAAAACCCACAACACTGCAACAACACTGCACTATACAGTAGAATTCAAAGGAGCTACTGCCCTGGGATAGAAGCTGATTTTCAGCCTATTTGTGCTTGTTTTTAATATTCTGTACCGTCTGCCAAATGATAATAGTTTAAAAAAAGGGTGCCCAGAATGAGATGGATCTTTGAGAATGTTTTGAACTTTCTTAAGGCAGTGGGAGCTATAAAGCTCTTCCAAAGAGGGGAGAGAGCAACCAATGATCTTTTGGGCAATGACCTTCATCTTCTGGATTGTTTTCCTATCTGCCCCGGTGCAATTGGCAAACCATACAGAGGTGCAGTAAGTTAAAATGTTCTCTATGGTGCAGCGGTAGAAGGTCACCAGCAGTTTCTCATTCAGTTGTTGTTTTCTGAGAAGCCTCAGGTCGTATAATCTCTGCTGGGCCCTTTTGACCAGGGCTGCAATGTGGGCACCCCAGGTCAGGGCTGCAATGTGGGCACCCCAGGTCAGGTCCTCTTTTAGGGTAACACCCAGAAACTTAAAACTGGCCACTTGCTCCCCTCAGTCTCCACTGATAAGCAAGGGCTGGATTTCTGATCTGTTCCTTCTACAGTCCACTATAAGCTACTTGGTCTTATTGGTGTTGAGGAACAAGTTATTGTCTCCGCACCACGAAAGCAACCAGTCCACCTCATCTTGGTAGGCAGACTCATCCCCCCTGGAGATGAGTCCCACCACTGACAAAAGACAATATTTGTAGTTCAGAGTTGAACTCTGGGGTCCTTAGTGTTTTCTGAGTTTGGTTGTTTTCTTGCACATGTGTTTCATGACCCTACCAGGTAACATCATCAGTGCTAGATGCAAGTGGGATTTGCTCCTTGTTTAAAACAGAACTATCCAGCAGCCAACACCCAGGTAAGCAGGGATTAATCCCAGACAAGCAATCAAACAGAAAACAATACCCTAATTTAGGAACTACCCCGGAGAAAAACAGCTGGATCGGGAAGCACAGAATATGAAAGCAAACCCCACTCCCTTCTAGCACTGATGATGTTACCTTGTTGGGTAATGAAAAGTCTGCAAGAAAACAACCAAGAACCCCACAATTCTTATCACAGTTTTCAAGTTCTTCATTTACTCCAGAATAGCTCTGGCCCCACTGATATTGGGGGAATTCTTGCTTCTTGGTCTAGCCCACCCCACATGGAGTTTAACATTGATGGTCTGTTCAACCAACTCTACAGATTCCAGGGACTTACATTCTAACCACTGAGCTTTGACCTCATCCTGGATGCCAGGAAATTATAGTTCCACCCACTTAGTAAAAGAGACAAGGATGACCTTAGCTATACTCACGGGAACCACAGTTTGGTCCAGTTGGACTGGAGTGAGGCGAGATTTGGAGAAGTCTAGGATCAATGAAGGGTGTAAAAGATGATGTAGAAGAAGAACTGTTTTTGGAAGGGGTACTGTCAGCATTCAGTGCCTGCTATTAAAAATAAAAAAATAAATTAAGGATATACCTCCAATTGTTTACTGCCAGGATTCAAGAGCTGCAGCTTATGGGCTGGATATGATGAAGCAAATAGTCACCCTGTGAGATCTCAGATAATTTGTGTTTGATATGTTGGGGTGCAGTCCTGAAATGGAGCTGCTGTTTTTGCTGGTCGGAAAGAGTTCAGCAACTGGAGTCAATCCAGCTAAGGTCCTTCAAAGCCCAACGGGATGATGTGAGAAAGGGACATGACAATGAGCAAAGATCACAATTGATATTCTACTTAGGAGCATGATAGAAGAGATTTACCCCAACACTTTCTACTTCACCTTTACATACAAAAAGTCAGTGGTGGTATTCAAAATTGTTTTACTACCAGTTCTGTGGGCGTTGCTTGGTGTGGCTTGGTGGGCGTGAAAATCCCCATTCCCTTCCCACCCTGCTAACCTGCTTTCCAGCTCTGTTCTCCTGTGCAGGGCAACAAAATAAGACCCAGCCAATCAGCTGGGACTCAATGGGAGGCGGAGAAGAGATGGGGGCGGGGCCAGTCAGAGGTGGGATTTGCCGGTTCTCCCAACTACTCAAAATTTCTGCTAGTGGTTCTCCAGAGCTGGTCAGAACCGGCTGAATACCACCTCTGCAAAAAGTGGATGTGGATAACAGACTAAGGGGAAGGAGCAGGAAGTAGATTTGATCAACCTCCCGGCTATATCCAAAGCAAAATAGCTCCTTCACAGAAGTGGGATTCAGCAGGTTCTGACCAGTTCTGGAGAACCGGTAGGGGAAATTTTGAATTGTCCGGAGAACCGGCAAATCCCACCTCTGACTGGAGATCTTGCAGTATCCTTCCCCTGCCATGCCCACCAAGCCACGCTTACAGAACCGGTGGTAAAAAAATTTGAATCCCACTACTGCTCCTTCAGCTTCCCATGGATGGACTCTCTCATCAATGGTGACCCAGATGCATCCCTTCTTGGGGGCCCATCTTGATTTGCATTTTTGCAGAGCTGTACAACTATTAGACAATTGGACACTCATGTCCCTTCTACTTCTCCCCATACACACACAGTGTAGAGTTGTAATTGCAGGAAAGTCATTATCTTGATGGCAAACCTCAGATAAGGACAAAAGCAAATACAACTCAGACAAACAAAATCACTAATGCAAAGAAGGATTAGAGAGAGGAAGTAAACGTGTTACACTTTAACTAGAGATAATTAATTGTGTTAATTACTATGCTAGACAGTAACAAAGGTTGAGCAACAACCAAAGTTAACCAATGTTAGAGGATTACTAAAAATGTGTATAAATACAGGACTAGACTCCAATAAAGTCATCATGATTCATGTGATCATGATCAAACACCTCGACTGCCTCGTCATTGCAACAACACAGGATATGGTGGTCCTCAGAACCAGAAGTTCATCGTTTGACCCCCCCTTTTTTAAAAAAATCCTTTTAACATTTGTTACTGGTTTAAGAACTTTAACCTGGTTAGCAGGAGGATTGTTTGGAAGTTCTTGAGCAGAAGTTTTCATTTGGTTTGCTGGAATCTGACTCTGTTGGAGGAGGTCGGGCAGCAGGTAATTTTGGTTGTTCATGTTCCAGAGTTCTTCACGAGCGTCACAGCCATATTTTCCCGCAGCATTATCCTGCACCAAAGAACAAACTGAACCACTAAGTTGCAAGCAGGCTTAGGGAAGGGTTCTACACCCCTCCATTCTCCACCTTCCTTCCTTCCTATATGTAGCGGTGGGGAAACTTGTCCAAATCTCTGTCCTACCTCAAAGCTAATGGAGATCAGATTATGGGAGGAAAGTCAACACTCTGTGGATCAGGGGAATGGAATACAACAATATGGTGACGCAAATGGGATGCTGTTGGACAACATGGGCTTTAAAGCAGGGGTCTCCAGCCTTGGCCACTTTAAGACTTGTGGACTTCAACTCCCAGAGTTCCTGAGCTAACATGACTGGAGGAGGAATTCTGGGAGTTGAAGTCCACAAGTCTTAAAGCTGTCAAGTCTGAAGACCCCCGAGTTAGGTGATGGATTTGTGTGTTGTTACACACACGCACACACACAAAACTTTTTTCGTAATTTGGTGTAATTTACCAAGTTTGGGAAGCCCTGCCTTAAAATTTGGAATGAGCCATAAGAAAAAGAACTTTCTTTTCTTCCTCTTCCTCTTCCACTTCTTCTTCCTCTTCTTTTTTAAACTAAGAAGAAATTTCCTGACAATGAGAACAATTAATCAATGGAACAGTGCTCAAGAAAAGATTGGACAACCGTTTGGCCAGGATGATATGCAGTCTCCTGCCTTTAGCAGGGGGCTTGGACTACAACAGGGGTCGCCAACCTTTTGGGCCTCAGGGACCATCAAACTCGTAATTTTAAATCCCAGGGACTACTAATATGAATTTTGACTGATGGAGGCTTGCTAATATTGGTGGGAGAGAGAGAGAGAGATCTGATCTAACCTCTCTCTCTCTCTCTCTCTCACACACACACACACACAAACCAATACACAGAGGCAGGGGTAGGATTAAAATTTCTTAACAACCGGTTCTGTGGGCGTGGCCTAATTGAATCACAGAATCACAGATTCACTCAGAGATCTATCTATCTGCAATCTTCTACCTGAGTCGGCATGGAAAATAGAAGATTCAGTCCTAACAAAGCTTCAGCTCTGCTTTTAGATTAGCTAGAAGCAAAAAGTCCAATGGTTTCCTGCTTTCTAGCTAATCTAAATCTCCTGGCACAGCAGAACAGCTGATGGTCGGGAAAAAAAAAGGAAAAATAGCAACTTAGAAGGCAAATTTGCTGGGTAAGCTCTAGGATTCTATGAGTCTAAAGAGAAGTCTTCCGTGTCAAATTTTGAGAAAGCAGCAAGAGTTAGGGCCCACTTATTCTCCCCAAAACCTTTGTGAATGAAATCAAAGAAATGTCCATCCTGGATTTCTTTTGCAGTAGAAATAAACCTTCTTCAGACTGTATTGATGGGGTGCCTTGAATGACAGGAGAAGCAGATTTGGGACAGCTTTTATTTCTATTGGAATGTGTAAAGAATAAAATGGCCTGCAAGCACGTTGGGTTTTATTAGAATGGAACTGTTTTGGGTCGAAGCAGGCTTGGCGTCTTAACCCACAAACAACCTGGCTGCAGTCCCGACTGTGGTTTGGAAAATATTTGAATCCTTTCAGCTTTATAATCCCATGAGAGCTTCGGATTTGAAAGTTTGGCAATTCCTGAAAGGTTGCAGAGCCAAGAGGGATGCAACTGGAGATAATGGGATGCTGCCTCTTCCTCTCCAAGCAAATGTGAAGCCAGAACTGAAAAAAAAGATGGTTTGTTGCTAGCATAGAAGAGGGAAACTGTCGGCCATGGACTTTGCTGGCTGGGAGGAAGCTTGGCAGATGCCAGCACGAATCCAGAGGTGACACGAAGTTTTCAAAAGCCAAGATTTTCTCACTGGGAAAATATGGAAACATGGAGAAGAGAAGGATGCACAGGTAATCCTCAATTTACAACCAAAATTGAGCACAGAGACTATGTCACTAGTCAAGGCAGTTCTTAAGTGAGTTTTGTCCCCATTATATGACCAGTTGTTAAGTGAATCGCTGGTGGTGCAGTGGCCTAGAGGTAGAGTTCTTGTCTCACAATCAGGAGGCTGCGAGTTCAATCCTAGGTAGAGGCAGATATTTTTCTCTCTGGGCATGTTGAGATTATATCTACTGAATATAACTCCACATTGGCAACAGGAAGGGCATCCGGCCAGGAAACAATCAGCTCCATTCGGTTGCCTAGACTCCAACCCGCAAGGGATTATGGGGTCATTAAAAGAAGATGATGATGAAGCGAATCGCTGCAGTCATTAAGTTGCGAAGACTCCCTTCTCGATTATGTGCTTTGTTTAAAAACAGCAGTGACAATGATGGCAAGAAAAGTTCATAAAATAGAACGCAACTCGCTGAACAATTACCTGGCCTACCAACGGCCTAGTTTTGATCGTAAATCAAATCCAGCAACAACATTCACAGGTGTTTCTTTTCCTTTAAAAAAATGGGGAGGTTTTGAACGGTCTAAAAGAAGTTTCAATGAAACTTTGTCCTCCCAAGCATTTAAGCTGACTTCATAACCTTTCATAATTCCCTTGCTTTTAATCTGATTATTCTAATTCCCGTAAGCCAAAGGATCAGATCTGGCTAACATGGAGATTTAGTGTGCTTGTTCAAAGTGTGAACCCCAAGGGAACCGAATCTAAAGAAAATATGGATAGATGTGCTTGTCCTGGTTTTTTTTTTGTTTTTTTTTTAGAAGAAACTGCTCTTTATTTATCTTGTTTCATTTCCATCGTTTCCTTCCTGTATCTTCCCATAGCTTTCTAAAAAGGAACTACAGATAGTTCTCGATTGGCAACATTCATTTAGTGACTGTTTGAAGGCACTGGGAAAAGGGTACTATTCTATTCTATTCTATTCTATTCTATTCTATTCTATTCTATTCTATTCTATTCTATTCTACTCTACTCTACTCTACTCTACTCTACTCTACTCTACTCTTTTCTATTCTATTTTCCTTCCTTCCTTGTCTGTTCTAATTCTATTCTATTCTATTCTATTCTATTCTATTCTATTCTAATTCCTATTCTATTCTATTCTATTCTATTCTATTCTACTCTACTCTACTCTTTTCTATTCTATTTTCCTTCCTTCCTTCTCTGTTCTAATTCTATTCTATTCTATTCTATTCTATTCTATTCTATTCTATTCTAT